AGACCCTACCTCAAAATGTAGTTGGGGGGGAGGAACGCTGTGTAACTCAGCATAGGTTCAATCCCCAGTACAATAAATAAAAGCTAATTCTTTGGTTAGTCATTAAAACTGAAAGTTAGAAAAGTCCATGGAATGTTATTATGGGCTACTGTACTCAGAATATTTTGCTGAGTTTACACACCTATAATATTCAAATAACAGAACTTAACAAAAAAAAGGGTATACAGATGAATGTCCATTTTGTATCTGTGTATTCAAAGTGGTTAGGATAGATATATAGTACATTCTCTTTTTTTTTCAAAATTTTATTGATAAACAGATAGCAATGAGACAGTTTCAAATCAAATCGGTAGGACAGTTTCAATAACTAACACACTGCATATATTCTTAGTGGTTAATTGCTATACAAGATGCGGACTTGAGATCCTATTTACAAACACCATTAGAACAAATCATTCTATTCATTAAGAGAATGTAACTACATATCTATCCTAACCACTTATATAGTACATTCTCTTAATGAATAAAATGATTTGTTCTAATGGTGTTTGTAAATAGGATCTCAAGTCCGCATCTTGTACAGCAATTAACCACTAAGAAGAATGTATGCAGTATGTTAGCTATTGAAACTGTCCTAGCAATTTGATTTGAAACTGTCTCATTGCTATTTGTTTATCAATAAAATTGTGGAAAAAAAAAAGAAAAGTCCATGGGCTTGCTGAAGAAAGGAGAGTGGTTAATATACAGTTTTATCTAGAGACAACTAGCTTTTTTTTATTTTTATTTTTATTTTTTTACCATTTTTTCTGAAAGTATATGGGCTGCACTGAAAATCTTACAGGTCAGGTACTTAGGTAGAAATTCTATCCACAATGTTAGTAGCAATAATAAACACTGTCAGGGGCCAGGGAGATGGCTCAGTAGAATAAGCGCTTCCCTGGCAAGCAAACGGCCTGAGTTCAATCCCCGGTTCCACCAAAAAAAAAAAAATGATAAACACTTAAAATAATGTATTATTACCTAATTTTATCTTCTTAACTATCCTATAAGGTAGGTATTACTGTCCTCATTTTATAGATTAGGAAACTGAGGCCAAAAATAAGTTAATTACATTGCCTAAAATGGCTAATTATGGTGAGGTCCACCTGTAATCCCAGTACTTGGGAGACTGAGACAGGAGGATCTCAAATTCAAATGCATTTATTACTATATTCTTTTTTTTTTTTTTTGAACTGGGGATTGAACTCAGGCCCTTCTGCTTGCAAGGCAAGTGCTTATTCTACTGAGCCATCTCCCTGGCCCCTTCAAATGCATTTAGTATGTCTGTTTGAATATAGAAGTTGAGTTATAAAATGGTAATGTTAATATATAATTAAATACATTCACATCAATACCTAAATAATATAAATTCTGATTAAGTATTTGTAAATACCCAAGTAGGTGCCTTTGGATGTAAACAGATGAACTTGAATGACTTATTGCCAAGTAACCAATCGAGTACAGGCATGATGCATGAAAGCCATGCATACTTGATAACAGACATGATTGTGTCTAATATGCATCTTCAGAATTTAATATATTCAAAATAAAGAATTTATCACTTGCTGTAAGGGGCATATTTAATGTACTTGTGTGAAATACATGTTTTCTGAATTTTGGTGCCTACAATTTTTCATTGCTTTTATATGGACCATATTCTTAACTGTCAACATTTTTAGCAGCAATCCTGTCTCATAAGTCTTCAATTAACACTTGATTTAACAAACTTTGTGAAGCCCAACCTGCAAGAGGTTGTGACTTGGGTGAAGAATTCATGGGATAACATCACTGACAGCCATGCTGCCACTGCACTGCAAGCAGGCTACCTGGACAAGTAGTGCTCAATTAAAGAGACCTCTGTTGCTGGACATGAGAGATTGGACTCAAACATTCAGACCAGAATTCAGGGTTTAGAGAATTATGACATTCTAGAATATTACATGACTGAGAGCCAAAGAGATAGCTCATTAGAATAAGTGCTTGCCTGGCAAGTGCAAGGTCCTGAGTTCAATCCCTGGTACCACAAAAAAAAAACAAAAAAAAAAAAAAATCTGGGAGGCAGAATATTACATGACTGTATTTTAACAGATTTTGAGACAGGGTCCTACTTTGTAATGCAAGCTTGCCTTGAATTCACCATGTAACCTAGACTGGCCTTGAACTCCCAGTGATCCTCCTACCTCAGCCTCCTAAGTACCAAGATTATAGGCATGCAACACCATGCTCAGCTAAATGTACTTTTTTGTACATGAATAAATGTAGATTATTATACAGGGAAAAAAAGATATCTCCTGAAAATAAGCCTTATTGCATTTTTTGGAGCAAAAATAATGTAACCTAGGCCTTAGCCAGGTGTAGTGGCTGTCTCCCCACACTCAGGAATCTAAGGAAGGAGAATTGTGGCAAATTTGAGGCCTGCCTGGACTACATAGAGTTCAAAGCCAGTCTCAACTATATAGCAAGACCGTGTCTCAAAAAACTCAAAAGCAAAAAGGTCAGGCCTTATTTTCAGGGAAATAAGGAAGCAAGACCCTTTCTCTAAATCAATACTGAGGCAAGAGAATCAAATTGTAGCCCAGCATGGGCAATTTATCAACTGAGCATGACCCTGTCTAAAAATTTTTTAAAATAATTAAAAGGCTGAGGATGTAGCTCAGGGCAAAGACCCTGGTTGAATTCCCATTACTGCAAAAAATACCCTGAGGTAACCCAGATGATATTCAGACCATAAAATCTGGCTTCAGAATCTGCCCCATGAGAAATTTATAACTTCCCATTCCAATAAATTTCACTATCCAGGCGGCCAAGTAGCTCAGCGGATTAAAGCACCTGCAAGCAGGCACAGAGCTGGCGGAGTGGGGCATTTGATCCCTGGACCTGCCATGCCAGCCTCAAAGCCCTCCAACAAGGCATGTTGAGAGGGCAATTGAGACTGTGTGTGGTGGCCCGCACCTGTAATACCAGCATTTGGGAGGCTGTAAACAAGAATCACGATGAGTGCGCTCTAGTAGTGAGACCCTGAACACCCTGTAGACCCTTCTCTAAAAAATACAGATTAAAATAAAATAAAATAAATTTCACTATACCATTTAATCCTGATTCACCAATCCTAATCCTCACTGCACAGTAAAGATCTCCGAGATTTACAGATTTCAGAGCATTTTAAATGTTCACTGGGCCTTTCCATGCTGCTCAGGTAGGGTCCATACAGTGTTGTTCTTGATTGCCACCGTAACGTAAAGGGAAACCTTACAATGTCCGGAGCCCTTGATGTTCGGCAAATGAAGGAGGAGGACATCCTCAAGTTCCTTGCTACAGGAACCCACTTAGTGGCGCCAACCTGGATTTCCAGATGGAACAGTACATCTATAAAAGGAAAAGTGATGGAATCTACATCAAAAATCTAAAGCGGACTTGGGAGAAGCTCCTCCTGGTAGCTCCAGCCAGGAACACTGGCCAGCAGGCTGCTGCCACTGGAGTTACTCCTATCGCTGGCCACTTCACTCCTGGAACCTTCACTAACCAGATCCAGGCAGCATTCCGAGAGCCACGTCTTTTGGTGGTTACTGACCCCAGGGCTGACCACCAGCCCCTAACGGAGGCATCTTACGTCAATCTGCCAACCATTGCTCTGTGTAACACAGATTCTCCTCTGCGCTATGGGACATTGCCATCCCATGCAACAATAAGGGAGCTCACTCTGCGGGTTTGGTGTAGTGGATGCTGGCCCGGGAAGTGCTACGCATGCGCGGCACCATTTCCCGTGAACACCCATGGGAAGTCATGCCTGTTCTCTACTTCTAACGGGATCCTGAAGAGATTGAAAAAAAAGATCAGGCTGCTGCTGAAAAGACTGTGACCAAGAGGAATTTCAGGGTGAATGGACTGCACCAGCTTCAAGAGTTCACTGCTGCTCAGCCTGAGGTCGCAGATTGGTCTGAAGGCGTGCAGGTGCCCTCTGTGCCCATTCAGCATATTTCTACTGAAGACTGGAGTGCTCAACCAGCCACAGAAGATTGGTCTGCAGCCCCCACCGCACAGGCCACTGAGTGGGTAGAAACCACCACCAAGTGGTCTTGAGCTGTTCTGCCGACGCTTAAGCAAAATGGGAATGAGGCTGATGAAAAGACAATTTCTAACAAAAAAAATAATAAAAATAAAAAAATAAATGTTCACTAGTTCCCTTAAAAGACAACCACAGTCATCTAACACTAATCAGACTAAATAGTGTTAGCTGATCTGGTAATGCAGACCCATATTCGCGGAGTCCCTTTGTAAGAGCTGAGATGGTATGGAAATCAGTAGCTTTTTCATGAACAGCTTACTGGCTTTACCTTCTACTTTTCAAGACTCTTGTACAAAAAAGTACTGGTTCTTAACTTGTGGCCCTGGGTCACTCGGGTGGATGGATTTCTCCAAAATAGCAGGCAAAAAGAATTGCTAAATGTGCCCCTCCTTTTTTTCAGCTTTAAAATAATTTGTATATCGTTCTAAATTGTCTATTACAAAAATAAATGAAGGTTAATTTAGGTCACTTCTATAATCCAATGGCGCGATTTCAATCTCTGTGGCATCCGCTGTTACTGTCTCCTTTTCCAGCATTTGAGAAATGGGAAATCGAAGCCTCTGTCGCATTTTGCCGACCGGTGGAAAGATCTTTCACTCAGGCGTTAAATACGCTCTCGGGAAGGGGCGAGGTGGCTGGCAGGTCGGGGAGCCACTGCCAAGCCAGCGAGTCCAGTTCTAAATTCTTAACCTTATTTAGAGATCGTCACCACCCCCACCCTGGGAACAGCCGGACCCGTCACTCTAAAGGAAGAGGCTGCGCAGCGCCTGACCCGGAAGCAGATCGTGGCCCCGCCCCCTGCGTGCCTGGCTTCCCTCTGCAACAGGCGCGGGTCACGCTCTCGCTCGCTCCTTTTCTGCCGCCATCTTGGTTCCGTGTTCTCCGCACAGTAAGTGTTGTTTGTGCTTTTACTCTCTATCCGCAGCCATCCTGCTTTCCTGTGGGCTGACCCGCCCCGGAGACGTGAAGTTTAAGGACAGTTGGAGTCTCTGTGAGTCCACAGAGCTTCCTACTCGTCCCTTGCCCTACAGACAAAATGGGGTCAGGGGTTGGTGTATTGGCAAAACCAGGGCATAAGGGCTGCGGGACCGGGAATGGAGTCAGAGCATGGGGACATGGGAGCCGTTACAGTGTTCGGAGACAGAGAACGGAGTGTCTGTTGTTGGGAACAGCTTCACGTGAATCCGGGGTAGATTAAGGGTCGCAGCCTTCAGAACCCACCACCGCTCTTACGAGGAGGACTTCGGAACATCCTCCCTGTTGGCTCTCGAAAGTCGTCAGGCAGCATGACTGTGAGGAGGGTAGCAGCTAAGGACTTCCCTGGCCGGAAACCAGACCGGGAACGTCTTCTTGGGCCGAGAGCGCAGCAGCAATTGCCGGCCTCGAGATCGGGAGTGTGGAACACAGCGAACCCCGGCCCTGGAAAGCCCCCTTTCCGAGGAGTGGAGAGGCTCAAGGAGAGATGATTCCCTTGGTAGAGATTGAGGGTCGCGTGGTATTTTCCACCTGTTCCCAGCCACTTAGCAGCCGTCAGAGTTTTTGAGAACGCTTAACTCTGGTGGTTTGGGCAGGTGACAACGTCTCAGTCAATTTAGGCCTCCTTTTTATTCTCTTCCTTCAGAAATGCCCGGTGAAGCCACAGAAACCGTTCCTGCTACAGAGCAGGAGTTGCCACAGCCCCAGGCTGAGACAGGTAGGTTCCCATACCCATGTTACTGCTAAGATTGACACCTAACGCTATTTTATGGGTAAAGTGAGACAATACATTTCTGCCGTTTTATAATTTTTTGTCATTAGAAAAAAAGGTGGTGACTTTACCAGGAAGGATTGACTGCTATCCTGCTAGGGCTTCTTTAATATGTAGGATTTGTGGACCTCAAAAGTTCTCAACCCTGCTCTTGTAAGCCTGCTGCCTCACAAAGGAGCTTGTGGTGGAACCACCACTGCACATAGGAATACTAAACCAGGAAAGGAGCTTGGTGATGTTACCTGTAGGAACTGGGTAACACACAGGCAGGCTAAGGGGACCTGAGCTTTTGTGAAGTTAGAGCCAGAGAGTTGCAGCAAGGTTTTGGATAGCAGAGCTTGGCATTGTGCCTTCGTCACATGTTTGGATGAGTTATGTGCTGGTGGTAAATGTGTCCTACTGAGCCTCATAGTCCCTGGAAGTCTGTTTAGAGGTTGGTGCTGAGATATTTCTGTTATTCTTGAATAGTTCCTAGACCATTATGTGTATCCCAAAACTGAAAATCTTGTGTTTATCTTCAACATTGAAATTAACGGGGGTGCCTGCCTGGCAAGGGCAAGGTTCTGAGTTCAGTTCCTGGTACAAAGAAAGAACTTAGCACTGGCTGGTCGTGATGGCAGCAGGTCACTAATCCCAACACTGGGAAGATGGCCCCAAGTTTAAGGCCAGCCTGAGCTGTATAAGGAGGCCCTTTCTCATTTTTTATGAAAAGGAAAAAAAAAAAAATTTAATGGGTGTAGAATGTAGTGTGAATGCAATTTTCAGTTTTTGTTAAAATCACTAGAAAAGTTGAGGCAGTGGAAAAAATGTAACATGATAGTCTTGTTGAGTCAGTCATGCAGAACTAAATGAAAGTAATTTTTAGGCCCTTGATGGTGAACCTTTTAAAGCTTTCAGTGATAACAAACAGCCAGCTGCTGCATACTTAGTGCTTTATGTATAGCTTCCACCACCCACACACACACACCCCTGTCACTTAAGGGGCAGTTTCTGCCTTCTCTTGGAAGTAAACTTGTTTATAGTTGAAAGCATTAAGGTTCTCCCACCTGTCTGATTTTAGCAGCTGAAGGGATTAATACACCTGCTGGAAAAGAAAGGAGGGGGTCCCTAAACTGGAAAATTAGCAAAATATGAAATCTTTAAGTGTCAAAAACTTTCTCCAATAAAGGACTAGTCTCCAAAAATCTTATAATTTCAGTACAATTTAAGGGATTGTCATTGAACAGATTAATTTAATAAATGCAGGGGTTGGTTCAAATGAATTTAGGATAAATTTGTTTCTAGATTGTAAACTAATGGGTTATTTTTGTTTTGTTTTGTTTGGCAGCACTAGGAGTTCATCTTGGCTTTGCTCTAAGACTTAGCAACGGGGCTGGGGAGATAGCTCAGTAGAATTAAGTGCCTGCCTGGCAAGGCGCAAGGTCCTGAGTTCAATCCCCAGTTCTGGAAGAAAAAGAAAAAAAAAAAAACACTGAGCAACAACCCCAGTCTATTCTTTGTATAGTATTGGGGAAGTCTTAAACTTTGCATCTTCTGCCTCTTCCCCCCAGAGTGCTGGCTCAGAGGAGCACCACCCCGTCTGGTCCAACTAGTGTTACTAATTCCTGAACTAATGCTTAGTGCTTTTAAAACATACTCTTGATTAGTCTGAACTTGCACAGAAAGTTCATTGTGACAGAATACCAGTGACAAGTGCTCAGGATTTTGTCTGTATCTATAATCAGTCTTAAGGCCACGGTTATAGTTCAGCGGCACAGTGCCTGCCTGGCAAGCACAAGGTCCTGAGTTTGATTCCCAGTACAAAAAAGAAAAAGCGAGGGGCCAGGAGATGGCTCAGTGGAATAAGCGCTTCCCTCGCAAGCGCAGGGACCTGAGTGACCTGAGTTCAATCCCTGGTTCCACAAAAAAAAAGAAAAATTTTCCTGGAACTATAATCAGTCTTATTAGAAGGAATGAAGAAGTTAGCTCCAGCCAGGCATGGTCTCCACAAAATTGTAATACAGCACTATGGAGACTCAGGCAGAAGGGAGGATCTCTATGAAATCAAAGCTACCCTGGGCTACAAACAGAGCCCTGACTCAAAAAAAAAAAAAAAAAAAACCTTACCTGAAGGAATTGAAAATAGTATCAAAGTAAGTTATTTGGAACTTACTCCATCGTGAAGTCCTGCAAGAAAAAAGCCATGTTTTAAATTTTAAATTCTGGTTCATGTATCTGAAAGTATTTGCACTTGAGTCATAAGGCTTGACTACAAATTCTCAAGAAAAAACTGGTTAAACCACCTTTTTTTTCCCTAGTCAGATACTACATGGCTTTAAAAATACTAGTTAAGTGAATTTGTGTGCTGTCAGTTTTTGTTATTTTAATCCTCCCAGGTGTTGAACATTTGTTCATCTAGTCTAGTGATGGTGAATCTTTTAGGCTTTTCAATGATAACAAATTGCCCACTATGGCAAGCGTTCCTTTGGTTCACCGCCACTTGTCTAGTCTGATTTTATCTCCTGAATTACAGACAGGCTACTTTTCCCCATGATTTAAAAACCTTTTACTTAGTTTCACTTTAGTCCCAAATACTGGTCTATTTTGACAGAATGACATACCTATCCAGATTAAGAGGTACAAATCCAGCATAGTCTTTTCACTTTAATTCTCCTTCCAAAATAGAACTACAGTCTGGTTTAACAGGTTGGGTCAGTTTCATAATACAGTCCCTACCCTTGTGACTAAGCTCTCTTTCTGAAGGTCTAATTCATCTTGGATTGGGTGTGTGAAGGACTGACATTGAAATGACATCCTAAAGAATTTAAACTTTTAATAGAATTGGATTATGCCAGGTTCTCCCTTCTAAAACTTACTGTAAAAGTTTTTTGGTTTTTTGGGGTTTTTTTGTAGCCTAGTGAAGCCTGAGAATATACAAACCTATTCTGTTTTTTCGAATTCATTTTTATCACTGCTTGCTACCCTACTTTTTTATTCCAGTTTCAGTGTGTTTCAGTTAGTTCGTGGTCCTTGGGTTGACAGGATAGCACAGCTGCTCTAGTTGTAATTAGAGGATCCAGGGGCTGGGAAGATGGCTCAGTAGAAAAAGCGCTTGCCTGGCAAGCACATGGGCCTGAGTTCAATCCCCGGTTCTGGGGGGAAAAAAAAAAAAAGGATCCATTTCAGGATGGCAGAGAAGGGTACAACTGGGGAAGGAATGGAAGCATAGACCCATTCCTGGGCCTGTGTTCCCCATTTGAACATACATTGCTCTTAAACATTTTCTCACCTTAAAATAGTTGGGTTTATTCTGGTACAAGTTGGAAAATGTGGAAAATGAAAATGATGTACTTTCAATTTACCAGTGATTTGCATTTGGGAAAAAAATTGGTTTTGCTTGTCACCTTTGTCTAATCTTGTGTGGTGACCTCTATTCTCAGATCTAAAATCTCATTGTTTCTGTGAGGCATGTTATACCAAGTTGGGCTGCTTAACTCACCTTTCTGTTGTTTGTTTTTTGTTTTTCCTTCCCTTTTATCTTTTTTTTTTTTGCTTTTATTCTCCAGCTGTGCTTCCTATGTCTCCAGCCTTGAATGTCACTGCTGCCTTAGGGCAGCCTGGATCTACCCCAACCCCTCCTTGCTCCCTGGCCCCCCAACAATGCCCTGTATCAATTGCAAAACCACCATCCCCTTTTCCCTCTCCCTCTACTAGTAGCGCAATCTCTTTAGAGGTTCCTTTTCCCCAGCCAGCCTCAGGAATGACCATGCCTTTGGAAACGTTCCCTGACACCCCAACTTTCCTACCACACCTGATAGGACCTCCTATCTCCCCAGCTGCCTTAGCCCTGGCTTCTCCCATGTTGGGGCCAAATATGAAAGGTACCCATTCCTGTTCAGCTCCCTTGGCTCTGGTTGCATTGGCTCCCCAAGCAGTTCAGAAGAGTTCAGTTACAGCTGAGTCAGGGTCAGTGACATCTCTGTCAGCTCCCCTCACTCCCTCAGAACCAAAGACCTTTCCCATTCAAGTTCCCTCTCATATAGTCCCTAATCCAAAAGATGCTATCCCAAGTCTTCCAGTTACAGTCAGTGGAATTCCTTCCCACCTTGTGACTCCTATGGCCCCTAGTGAATCTATAGTATCTTCTGGTCCTCAGATACCACCTATCACATCTCAGGTCAAAGGTGTCCCCACTTCTGTAGATCCAATGCCACAAAATCCATTAAGCCCAAGCCCAAAGGGACCTGTTAGTTCACCTGCTGCCTCCTTTCTTTCAGCTCAGTCAGTTCCTGCAGTGGCCTCTTCCCAAAACACTGAAACTCCAAATATCCCCCCCATTTTTCCCACTTCTCTGAGCACTCATCCTGTACCTTTTCATCAGAGTTCTTTAGGTTCTTCTATTCAACCTTTAGGTCAAACAGGTCCTAACACTCTGTCAGATCCTGTAATGAATACCATTTCTATAGATCATTCTTCCATGGAGACCTCTTACCCATCTCAGAGATCCGAGAGTTTTCCTCTTTTTTCCAGGAATGAGCTGGTTGCTGGTGTTACAGCTTCCATTCCTGTCGGGGTTCCCACCTCAGCTCTGGTTATTTCTACTGACAAAGGCCAGCCTGCTAGTATAACCTCCCACAGTCCCTCTGTCTCCCCAGATTTAGCTCCTACTTATTCATTGACTGCCTTGTCCTCTCTCATTCCCAAAGGCCCACCTAATACTATTCATCAGCCTTTGGTGACCCAAATTCCTCCTTCAGGAGCCAACTTTAAAGAAATTCCTGTCTCTTCTGGTAGAACTGCTCAGCTTATGGTAACTAATCTCTCTACAACTTCTACAGTAACTACTGCCTTTGAGGTAGCTACTAGTGTGTCTTCTGCAGTGTCATCAGGTCCCATGAGTAGTAAGGAATCCACTTCCCCTACTGCGTTGGGTATAATGCCTATAACTTGCAAGGAACTTCCTACTCCTCAAGTAGCAGCTACTCCTGGGATGCCATTTTCTTCAATACCAGCTCCCAAAGACCATAAATTTCTTCCCACTTCTGTATTGGTAAATGTAGGAACCCCTATTTCTCCATCCCAGGCAGGACTCCCCACCAAAAACGACCCTAATGATTTGCCTTTGGCCCTGGCAGCCCCTAAAAATTCCTCCTCTCTTCAAAGTATATCATCTCTGGAAATAAGTCCCCCTGGAGCCACCTTAGCAAAAAAAGGCCTTGTAGGGCCTCTCCCTATGGCTAAGCAAGCTGACACTACTGCTGCTTCTGTGGGTGTCAACTCCCCAGACTCTGCTAGTCTGTTTCCTGAAGGTTCTGTTTCTGCTCCAACAGTGCTAGCAATTCCTTTGGAAGGTACTGGCCCTGTGAGGGTGACTCCTACAACTGCCAAAGACACTTCCACTTTTGCAACTACACCCAGTCCTTTTGTCGGAACTGTCTTGTCAGCATCTAAAAATCACCCAGCTCAAAAGGATACTTGTACTCCTACTACCTTACCTTTGGTTCCACCAGCCTGTGAAAGCTGCCCTGTAGCTGGAGGTATGACTTGGTCCTTGCAGAATGTTTCTGTTTCTGCACCTGCAGTGGCAGTGGTCCCTGAAATTTCTAAGTCTTTGCCTTTTCCCACAATTCCACCATCACGCATTTCTCCTGGTGGAGAGAAAGTTGGTGGTATTTCTCCCACCTCAGCATTGGTACTCTTGGCTCCCTCTGCTGAAGGGCATCCAAGTAAAGACTCTGGTTCTGCTGTTACTTACCTGGCCAACTCCCCATCTCCCTTAAGGACTGGCATCTCTCCTGAGTCTAAAAGATCAGCATCCCAGAAGGGTTCCACTATCACTGATGGTCTGACTCAAAATGTCTCCTGTATTTCTCAGATTGAAGCTTCCATCCTTCCAGAGGCTAGTCTTTCTTTTCAAGGCCCTAAAGACTCACTAACGAAGAAACAGTCTTCCTCTCCTTCCTCACCAGAAGGAGCAGCCTCATCCCTCAAGGAGGCCCTAGCAACCCAGTCCCCCAGGGAGACCCCCACCATCCCAGCCAAGACCCCTTCTCACAAAAAGGCCCCTGCACCCTCATCCCTCAAAGGGCCTCCCATTGTTCCAGCCAAGACTTCTACCTCCCCCAAAGGAGCTTCCACTCCTTCAGCTGAGACTGATCCCTCCCCCAAAAAATCCTCAGCAACTGCAGCTCCCAAAGAGAGCCCAGCAACCCCGGTTTCCAAAGAGGCCCCCACTCCCCCACCTGAGATGCCTCCCTCCCCTCCAGAGATGCCAGCACCTGCAGCCCCCAAAGAGATCCCAGCAGTTTCATCCCCCAAAGGGACCTCCAACCTCCCGGCTGAGACTCCTCCCTCCCTCAAAAAGGTCCCAGCAACTCCATCCTCCAAAGCGGCCCCTACTATCCCAACCAAGACTCCATCACCCAAAAAGACCTCAGCGTCTACAGTCCCCAAGGGAGCCCCCACTCCCCTACCTGAAACTTCCCCTTCCCAAAAAAAGGCCTCAGCAACTCCAGCCCCCAAAGAGGCCTCCCCTCCCCAACCTGAGACTCCTCTCTCCCCACAAAAGGCCCCACCTTCATCCCCCAAAGAGTCCCCAGTAACCCCTTCCAAAGGGGCCTCAATCCCCCCAGCTGAGACTCCTTCCTCCCCCAAAAAGGTTGCAACTCCATCCTCCAAGGGGGCCTCCAGTCTTCCATCCAAGACTCCTTCCTCCAAAAAGACCCCAGCATCTACAGTCTCCAGAAAGGCCCCTACTCCCCTGCCTGAAACTCCCCCTGACCCAGAGAAGGCCCCAACAACTTCAGCCCCCAAAGAGGCCTCCCCTCCCCAACCTGAGACTCCCTTCAGCCCCCAAAAATCCCCAGCACCTTCAGCCCCCATAGAGACCCCAGCAATCCCTGCTTCCAAAGGGGCCTCTACCCTCCCAGCTGAGACTTCTCCCACCCCCCAAAAGATCCCATCAATTCCATCCCCTAAAGAGCCCCCCACTCTCCCAGCCAAGACTCCTTCCTCCAAAAAGTCTCCAGCATCTGCAGCCCCCAAAGAGGCCTCCACTCCTCAACCTGAGACTCCCCTCTCCCCCCAAAAGGCCCCAGCACCTGCAGCCCCCAAAGAGACCCCAGTAACTCTCCCTTCCAAAGGGGCCTCCACTCCACCAGCTAAGATTCCTCCCTCGCCCAGAAAGGCCCCAGCATCTGCAGCCCCCAAAGAGACCCTGGTAACTCCCTCTTGCAAAGGGGCCTCCACCCTACCAACTGAGACTCCTCCCTCCCCGAAAAAGGCCACAGCATCTGCAGCCCCCAAAGAGACCCCAGTAACCCCCCCTTCCAAAGGGGCCTCCACCCCACCAGCTGAGACTTCTCCCTCCCCTAAAGAGGCCCCAGCACCTTCATCCCCCAAAGAGACCCCAGTAACCCCCCCTTCCAAAAAGACCTCTACCCCCCCAACTGAGACTCCTTCCTCCCCTAGAAAGGCCCCAGCACCTTCATCCTTTAAAGAGACCCCAGTAACCCCCCCTTCCAAAGATACCTCTTCATATCCAGCTGAGACTCCTCCCTCCCTCAAAAAGGCCCCAGCTTCTGCAGCCCTCAAAGGGGCCCCCACTCTCCCAGCCAAGACTCCTTCCTCCAAAAAGACTCCAGCATCTGCAGCCCCTAAAGGAATCTCTACTTCCACATCTGAGACTTCCCTCTCCAAAAAGACCCCAGCAACTGCAGCCCCCAAGGAGACAGCAGTGACTCCATCCCCCAAAGGGGCTATCTCCCCACCAGCTGAGACTCCTCTCTCCCCTCTAAAAGTCCCAGCAAATGCAACACCCAAAGAGACGCTCACTGCCCCAGCCAAGACTTCTTCCCTTAAAAAGACTCCAGCAACTATAGCTCCCAAAGAAGTCTTAGCTGCCCCTAAGGGGATCTCCATTTCCCCAGCTGCAGTTCCTGCCACCCCTAAGAAGCCACCAATAACTGCAGCCCCTCAAGAGTCCCGAGCAGTCCCATCCCCCAGTGAGGTTCCCATTTTACCATCAGAGACTACTACTCCCAAAAAAGCCCCAGCAACTAAAGCCTCCAAAGAGAATCTAACAAACACATCTCCCAAAGGAGCCTCCATTCCCCCAGCTCTGGTTCCTCCTCCTTCCCCTAAAAAGGCCCTGGCAGCTGCAGCTCCCTCCCCCAATGGGGTTACTAGTCCTCTAGCACAGACTCCTCCCTCTTCCAAAAAAGCCATGGCTGCTACCTCCCCTCAAAAGGCCTTAGCATCTGCAGCCCCTAAAGAGACTCCTACTCCCACATCAAGGAGTCCTCCATCCCCCAGGAAAGCCCCAACAACTTCACCCAAAGTGACCCCCATTACTGCTGCCCTGGCTCCTGACTCCCCTAAAAAGGCCCCTGCAATTGCAGTGTCCAAAGAGGACACAACTCCATCCAAGGAGGACCCTGCTGCCCCAGGCAAAGTTCCCTCTTCCAAAAAACCTTCAGCACCCTCAGCTTCCAAAGGGGTCTCAAGTGCCCCAGCTGTGACTCCTGCCCACCAAAATATCAGAGAAGCCACAGCTTCCAAAGAGCCCCCCACTCTTTCAGAGATGACTCCCTCCTCCAAAAAGGCCCTGTCAACCAAAGGAAGCCAACCTGCCCCAGCCAAGACTTCTTCCTCCCCAAAAAAGGCCCCAGTAACTACAGTGCCCAAAGAGGGTCCTGCTCCCCAAGTTATGACTCCTACCCCCTGCAAAAAGGCCCCAGCCACCCCATCTTCCAAAGAGGCTCAATCTGTCCCAGCTGTGACTTTGACCTCCCTCAAAGAGGCCCCAGCCAACCCATCCTCCAAAAGAGCTCACTCTTCTTCAGCTGTTACTCCTCCTCCTCAAAAGGCTCCAGCCCCCAAAAGGGCCTCCACTGCCCCAGATGCCATCCTTCCCTCCTCCAAGGGGGGCCCAGCTACCCCATCCTCTGAAGGAGCTCCCACTGTCCCAGCTGTGACTCTGCACGCTCACAATGAGGCTGCATCCCCTAGAGAGGTCCCCATTTTTTCAGCCACTTCTGCCACCTCCAAAGGGACTCCTGCCCTCTCATCTGGGTTTCCTCCCTCCCCTAAAGGCTTCCCTGCTTTCCCAGGGTTAGTCCAAAGTACCTTGGGGGCTGTTGCCCCTCAGGCATCAGAAGGGATCCCAGAAAAGAAGGGCCCCACAGATATTAAAGAAACACTTGTTGCCCCAGCTCCAGAAAGTGCTCACAAAGGCGCAGGGGTCAAGAATTCTGGTACTTTACCTCCTAAGTGTTCTGATCCTTCTGCTAAGAATGATATTAAAGGATCCCACTCTACCATGGCTCCAGCCCCTCTGTTGATAGCCCCCACTCAGAAAGATTCTTCAAAGAGTACAAAAGCCCTCCATATTTCTCCTGCAAAGGGCAGAGACTTTCATTCTGCAGAAGGTCCTTTGGCTGCTGCTCCTGAGTCTAAGACAGCTACCCCTCTAGTGGCAGTGGCCTCTGAAAAGATCCTTACTAGAGCTGGATCCGCATCTGCCTCTCCAGCACCCAACCCATCAGTCTCCCTGCCTCTTGCTTCGTCCCCAGTTCCCCCTCTGCTTCCTAAACAGTTTCTGCCTTCCTCACCTGGTCTGGTGCTGGATTCACCCTGTAAGCCCCCAGCACCTGCTGATGAGGATGAGCTGCCGCCTCTGATTCCCCCGGAGCCAATCTCTGGGGCCATGCCTTTCCAGTCGGTCCTCGTCAACATACCCACTCCCAAACCTGCTGGAATCCCTGCCCCAACCCCTTCTGCCAAGCAGCCTGTTTTGAAGAACAACAAGGGTATTTGCCTTGGTTTGCTGTGTGCATGGTGTGTTGCCCACACCCCTCTTGGGGGCTACCCACCAGTACTAACCCTATGATGCGCCGCTTTCTCCAGTACATCTGCTTGGGTTTGGCCATAGTACATAGAATGATAATCTTAAATGCAAAAAGCTCTGGAAATACAAAATTAAATCTTGGTTTTCATTATCTCAGATAGTACTTTGTGTCTTACATAATATGATACAGACTGAACTGTGTGTCTGCTGTCTTGTTACCTAACTGTCCTGACATTGAAAACCAAGACCTACCACCGGACTTAATTTTTTTCTAATCTTACACATCACTAACTTTGTCCCTGGGCCTGGGATTTGCTAAAAAATATTGGGGAATTTGAGGCTATTTTTATTTCATATTTAGTAATGACCAGTTGCCCAGGGACTTCCCTTTCTTAAAAATGTAGACACCTTTTTCCTAGCAAATAGTACAAGTAAATGCTTTTTGTCTTGGTAGTCTTAGTGGTGCTTGGCCTTTCAATTAAGGGAAACAAAATATGAGTTACATTTGAAAGAAATGGGGGAAGTCACAGGACAGAGAAAAAGGTGACTTTTAGAACTTGACATTCAAGATTTCCAGAGATATTGATCAAATCCAATTATTAGTGTGAATGGCTTGAAAGTAAGGCCAATTGTATATACGTAACTGTTAAATCGGCCTTCTCCAATTTTAGTTTAAAGGATGAGGGGAAAGCACCTGCGTGCTGTTCCCCATCATTTTATTATGCTTCACTTGAGTACCTAGAGATAACATTTTGCCAAAACTTTCCTGAGGTGATTGAGCTACTGGAGTTCTGTAGGTGCTTTGTGGATGCCTATGCCAAGAAATGAAGATCTTAAGGGAAAGAAAGCAATTAATACTAAAAATGTGTAGCTATATCTAGTGATTATCCCTCATTTCTGGAGGTGAGTCTTTAATAGATATGTATGTGCTAGTTTGAGGGGGGTGCTTTCAAGCTGGCTTTACTCAAGTTAGTGGATTTACATTTAATATTGTAAGGCCTAGCATATAGTAATGATCTGTAGTCCAGACAAGCTGTGGTGAGCACCTCCTTAAAATCTCTACTGTAACATTGTAAAAGCTCTTTGTCTTCTTAGGGTCTGGAACAGAATCTGACAGTGATGAATCAGTACCAGAGCTCGAAGAGCAAGATTCCACACAAGCAACCACACAACAAGCCCAGGTGGGTATTATTTTTTATTTTACTATGTGATAGCTATAAGTACTATACATGGCTCAGGGTAGCGCTGAAGAACCAGGGCTGATCAGGGTTGACTTCTATGTTTGGAACTATAAATCTTGGTAAAGGAAAACCTCCCTCATAGACATAGAGAAGGTGATGTCTAGATCTTGGGTTCCATTTAATTCATATCTGTTTTGTCTTTAGCTGGCAGCAGCAGCTGAAATTGATGAAGAACCAGTCAGTAAAGCAAAACAGAGTCGGAGTGAGAAGAAGGCACGGAAGGTAAAATTTAAGTTACAAACAAATATTAAAGGTTGTAATGAAGCAACTTCAGAATAGAACACTTGGAATAGAATTCTTGGTAGCAGTAAAATACTGCTTAGTAACAAGTTACTGTTGCAAGAAAAATGCATGATTCTGAAAACTGATTTTCTCTTAATTTTTTTTTTGTTTGGTTTGCTTTTCATTTTGTTTCGTTTTTTGAGTCTTGAGTCTCTAATTGAGGTTGGCCTTGAACTGCTAGCCTAGGCTGTCCTCAAACTCATCATGGCAGCCATCCTGCCTCAGCCTCCCAAGTGTTGTTGGGGTTACAGGTTGCACCAATACACCCAGCACTATTCTTAATTCATAAAAATTTTTTCTTAACCCAAGAATGACGCTGTGAGTGCTGGTGGTATAGCTTAGCAGACTAAGTGCTTGCTTAGGTAAGCACAGGCCAGGGTTTGATCCCTGGCACCGCATGCTGCGCTGGCACTGCCCCTGGACACACTGAGCCAGTGATGGAGTCCAGGTGTGATGGCGCACTCCTGTAATCCCAGCCCTAGGGAGGCAGAAACCAGGAGAATCACTATGAGTCTAAGCTGCATAGTGAGACCCTGCACACAACACACACACAAAAAAAGAATGATGTTGTTTTCCTTGCTATCTGAAGCTGCTTCTAAGGTTGAAGACTAATGTTCTTTTGTATTCTTTAGGCTATGTCCAAACTGGGTCTTCGGCAGGTTACAGGAGTTACTAGAGTCACTATTCGGAAGTCTAAGAATATCCTCTTTGTCATTACCAAACCAGATGTCTATAAGAGCCCAGCTTCAGATACCTACATAGTTTTTGGGGAAGCCAAGGTGAGTAAGATTTTCCTCTAGACAAGCACTATTGACATTTTGGCTTGTGTAGTTCTTTATTGTGGATTATAGATATTTAATCCCTTCATATCTAGTCTGATGAAAAAAAAACTTTGCCAACTGAGCCTGGAGACATAAGCCATAGCTGAGAATCTACACATAAGCTAGTTCTCTTTCTTTGACAGTCTTGAGTAAGACATGTATTTTATAATATATAGTAAGTTCCCTAAAATGGATTTAGAGTGAGTTTTGAAAAGATAATATGGTTTCTCTTTACTGTAATCTATTTACCTAAATCTCTATTTTCTGCCCTATAGATTGAAGATTTATCTCAGCAAGCACAGTTAGCAGCTGCTGAGAAATTCAAAGTTCAAGGTGAAGCTGTCTCAAACATTCAAGAAAATACACAGACTCCAACTGTACAAGAGGAGAGTGAAGAGGAAGAGGTATACCAGAAAAAAATGTTGTACCTTGTTTTGTAACCTGTAATGTCAGATTTTTTCCCCTCTGTACTGGAGCTTGAAATCAAATCTTCCACACTGCACTACCTCCCCAGCACTTTGAGACAGAATCTCTCTAATCTGCCAAACTGGTTTTGAACTTGAGGTCTTCCTGCCTCAGTCTCCCAGAGTGCTAGGGTTATAGGCATGCATCACTGCACTCAGCTACATTCTGTTTTGTTTCTTTTTTTAAATATACTCAGCCCTGCTTGAGGTATTTGGCTTTTTATTCATACTAAGAACTAGATTCAAGAGCATTGTAGCTCGAAGCTAGCCTGGGCTACAAAATGAGTTCAAGGCCAGCCTTGCATAGTGAAACCCTGTCTCAAAAAGACAAAAAAAAAAAAGATTGAGGTTTTGGCCAAGGTTGTAGCTCACCAGCATAAGCGCTTGCCTGGCCAAGTGCAAGGTTGCGAGTCTGATCCCCAGTACACAAAAGAAAAAAAAAAAAAGAATTACCAAGGTTCTTCTTACCTGTAATTTATTAAGATTCCCCCCCCCCCAACCCTTTTTTCTTTTAGGTTGATGAAACAGGCGTGGAGGTTAAGGACATAGAGTTGGTTATGTCACAAGCAAATGTGTCGAGGGCAAAGGCAGTCCGAGCACTGAAGAACAACAGTAATGATATTGTAAATGCTATTATGGTAAGTGTCCAAGACTATTCCTTAGCAGCCTCTTGCCTGACCAACCAAAGTGAACTTAGTTTCTCTACCTAATATTAGCCGATTTGGAAGCCCCATTCCAGAGCCTGTTCTGAGTTGCCTTAGGTTTAAGGATCTAAATTTTCTTACTTTACCACCTCTTATTTTTTTCTCTTACAGGAACTAACAATGTAATCATTGGAAAGAAGGGCTTTTTCTGGTGTTTCAAAAAGGTCACTGCAGCTTGGTTTGAAATTTGTACTGTTTCTATCACTAATAAAGTTATGACTTATTGGATGAACTCAGTGAGTACTTGGTCTCTGAAGCCCCACTCACCCCACCCAAAATTGAAGTCTTTAGTAATTTATTTCAAGACTACCTTTAGTTGAAAAGATTTAGTCCCACAGATTTTTTTTTTTATTTAAGACACCAAATTTTTTCACCTCTTACTAGTATTATACTCTGCTGTTGGTGGCACAGCAGGCTATGTGCTATCATAGAAAGTGCTTCAGGGACTAAGATTGTAGTTCAGCACAGCTACTGCCTGGCAAGCACCTGACGCTGAGTTTGATTCTTGGTACGGGGGTCGGGGGATTCAGCACGTGTGCCATAGTTTCAAGATGACTTGTACTAGGTTGTTGGGGCCCTCTTTTTCTTATTGTCTTCAGATAATACAGTAATAACTTTCTCATTTCCAGTTTCTTCCCAGATGTTAACTGTTAACAGATTGTGTTCACCTAATCATCTGTCTGAATTCTGTTCATTTAAAATGGCTTGAGTAGCGCCAGGGAGATAGCTCAAGATCCTCTGTTCAGTCCCCAGTACTGCGGCGGCTGGGGGGGGGGGTTGAGTTAAATTTTTTAAACTTTATGGTACTCCAAAGCAATAAACATTGAGTATAAACTGCTTTGAATTGTTTTTGTTTATTTATTTATTTATTTATTTATTTATTTATTTTTATGTATTTAGTACAGGGTTTATAGGGTCTTACTACACAGATCAGACTAATAGTGTTCCTCCTGTTTTCAGCCTCCCAAGCACTGGGATTACAGGTTAGTACCACCACGTGCAGTCTCAGCGCACCCTAGGGGCAGGGCTAGCACAGCAGGCCAGGGATTGAATGTGGGTCCCTGCGCCTGCCTAAGCAGGTGCTTTAGTCTGCTGAGCCATCTGGCTGCCCCTTGTTTTGAATTTTAATCTCCTAGGCTAATAATATCTGATGCTCAGCAGTACCAGCAAATCACTTAGGTATATGCTCAAAAGGATGAACAAACCCTAGAGAGTATTGTGTTACTAATTTGTTTGATAGTCAAGTATATTAAATGCATTTTCAGCCAAGCATGGTGACAAACACCTATAATCCCACCACTTGGAATGCTGAGTAGGATTGTTGCAGGAAGCCCAGGCTGAACTGCATAGTAAGGCCCTGGTTTAAAAAGACAAAAAGAATGTAAGATAGGGGCTGGGGAGAAGGCTCAGAATAAGCAGGGCCTGAGTTCAACCCTCAGTTCAGCCAAAAAAAAAAAAAAAAAAACAAAAAAAAAAAAAAAAAAAAAAACAATGGGAGATAGCTGAGCAGAATGCGCACCTGCCTGGTAAGAGCCATGTTCTGAGATCGATCCCTCATACCAAAAAAGAAAGGGATCTGTGGGTGTGGGTGTGGGTGTGGGTGTGTGTGTGTGTGTAACTCAAAGAGTGGATCTACCAGTGGTACAAACCTATGGGCACATGTTGCAGCAGTTTGTATCATTGAAAGCTCTGAAAGGTTTGCCATCACTGCTAAGAAATTCACATAATCCAAGCTTTGTGCTACGTGGCATGTAATCACAACAATCCCAGTTGGTTTACAATTTGTGTGAAGGTTTAATGTACAGGTTTGCAGAAGGTGGATGTGTACAAAAAGTGGCTTATAAAATTGAAAATGGGTCTCATGAAGATTTTGATTTTAATACAAATGTAAAGCAGCATACAGACAACCTACAAAGAAGGTTATGATTAGGGCAGGGTAGCCATTATATAAGCATAATACCTGAGAAGCAGACCCATTTCAGGCAAATGAACGTAATAGGCTAGTTTATAATAACCAGAAACACCAAGAAAAATTTGGATTATCAGAATAATTCTTGAGGGCCAGGGAGATGGCCCAGTAGAATAAGTGCTTCCCTGACAAGCACAAGGGCCTGAGTTCAATCCCCGGTTCCGCAAAAAAAAAAAAAAAGCCGTAAGAATAATTCACGAGAACAGCTAGAATTTAGAAATGGCAAAGGATACAAACAGGCAAAAAAAATTTAAATGTTAGATGTGGTGCATGCCTGTAATCGCAGCGTTCGGGAGGCTGTGGCAGGAGACTCAGTGTGAGTTGGGGCTAGCCTGAGTTACATAGGAAGACCCTCAAAAAAGATGATACAACCCCCTGTAGCACTCATGCTGTAGGTTTGCCATCACTGGCTTAGATCATTTGAAAGTCATAAAGCTGAACATAGGCCCTGGATGCAAACTCCAAAAGAGAAATCAAAAATTCAATTCAAAAAAATTTTTAATTTATTTATTTTACATTTATTTATTGTATGTGTGGCCAGCTCAGCCCACCAGGGGGCGGGGCTGGCTGGCATGTGCTGGGGGATCGAACCGTGGTCCATGTGCTTTGCTAAGCTTGTTCTAAGTAGGTGCTTTAGACCACTGAGCCATCTCACCAGCCCCTCAAAAGTATTTCTCTAAAAACAAGTGGCTGGGGCCGGGGAGATGGCTCAGTAGAAAAAGTGCTTGCCTGGCAAGCCCAAGTGTCTTGAGTTCAATCCCCGGTTCCGGCAAAAAAAAAAATTAAAAAAAAAAGCAAGTGGCTAATACATGAAAAAATGGTCAACAACATTAACACATTCCCAAGGGATAGTACATGGGTGACTCTCCCCAGGTAGCTTGTACCACTGCTGGTACAAACATCTAATCATACTGATCTTTTTACTAATAAAGTTTATAAATAGACTAAGTGATTACGGTCCTACTGGGTATAATGGTGCACTCTTCTAATCCCAGCACTGGAGGCTGAGGCAGGACCTCTGCAAGTTACAGGTCAGCCTGGGTTACCTAGTCCCAGGCCAAACTGCACTACATAGGGAGACCCTGTCTCAAATACTTCATATCCACTAGTTTTATCAGTAACTAACATGGAACAGGGTGGTTGAAAGTATTGAATGTGCTGGTTCCTGCTCAGTCGCCTTCAGCCATGGACCAAATCCCAACCTTCTGTGGAAAGTTGCAGTTCCTGGCCAGCATGCTAAATTGTGAGGCAGCCCAGCTGCACGATGCACTGGACAGAGAGGACAGTGACTTGGAAAATTATCCAATGAGGACTTTAGATGGCCTTCATTTAGAAGTCCAGGCTCTAAAGGATAACATATTTTTTTCTTATGTGTTTAGTACAGGGTCTCACCACAGCTCAGACTCATAGGTGAGACCCTGTACTAAATCCACCTGTTTTCAGCCTCCCCAGCACTTGTATAACACGTGCGCCACCATGCCTGGTCTCATTGGCAGCCTCAGCATACCCAGCGGCAGGGACTGGCATAGGATGTGCCAGGGATCAAACCTCAGCCCCTGCGCTTGCCTAAATAGGCACTTAGTATTCTTTTTGATAAAGCAAGACTGGAAAGTCAAGAAAAGCATTGATTTTACTAAGGCAATAAAAGTACTGAGGAAAATTCAGTTTCTGAACAGGAAATTGCTGACTCTGCCCTAGAGATGGCCAGTGACAATGTTCCAAAGCCTAGTGTGAAGGAAGACCCATCTGACCCACCTGTCCAAGATGGTTCTGCACTAAGAAAATAACAATGTATTGATTATCAAAACTGTCCTATTCTGCTTTGAAGCTGTCTCATTCATATTTGTTTCTCAATAAAATTTTAAAAATTAAAAAATAGGGGCCGGGGAGATGGCTCAGTGGAATAAGCGCTTCCCTGGCAAGCCCAAGGGCCTTAGTTCAATCCCCAGTTCTGCCAAATAAATAAATAAATTAATTAAAAATTAAAAAATAAAATAAGGTGGTTCTGTTTCTGAGGAGCCTCTTCAGAGTCCACAGCTTGCAGATTATGAACTGGAATGGTGTATGATACCTTAGGTTCTACGAAATCCTCAGCAAGCTATAAGCAACCACAAGAGCCCACAATTGACAGTCCACCTATGAGACAGCAGTTATAAAAACCTCCAAAATATGCTCTGAAGATGGATGATTTTGAGTGTGTAACTCCTAAATTAGAACACCTAAGTATCTTGGAATATACTATGTGTCTAAATGAAGATTATGCAGTGGGCCTTAAAAATAGGAAGACTGTCAGAGTGGTGGCTATAGGAACAGAAGCCATGACCAATGACGATTGCCTTGCCATGCCTGGCCCCACCATTCAGCAACTGGAAAAAAAAAAAGTGATACCAAATACACAGATTTCCCTTTGGCACCTAAATTCTACAATTGGTTTGAAAGTTCCTTCTAGTAAAGGAGATAGCTCAGCAGATGTAAGTTCCTGCCTGGCAAGCACAAGGTCCCGAGTTTGATCCCCAGTACCACAAAAAAGAAGTTCCTATTTCTACAAAGAACACCATATCTTTGGTATCTACAGATCATCTATTATCAGAAACCATCAAATGATTTTGAAGTTAAAGATTGAACTTTAAAAAAAGATTGTACTTAATTAGTTTTATTTTTTGTACTAGGAACTGAACTTACATTAGTTTTAAAATCAGACTAGTGCTTACAGAATTTTGCAGACCCCTCCTCACCTACAATTTCATTTTACAAAAACTTGCTTAGAACACCCACATCTCCAGAAGCAACTTCTATCCCAAAAGATACTCTCCAGATTTTGTCAAAACATAACTGAAACCTAGCCACCCCAATAGGAGTGAAAGCAGTGCCTTCCAGGAAAGGGCTCCTCAAACCTGAATGATGGAACATCCCAAAGGTTGGCAACAAAGAAAACTCATGAAAAAATGCTAGTAGATCCATCCATTGTAGAAACTGAACAGAACAAAGCAGATCTGGACTTACTTTGCTATTTACATTCCTTCCCCAGTTTTCCTCTGAAAACTTTCCCATTTTAAAGAGGAACATGAATATTAATGTAATACCCTTTTTATGAAGTTAGAAAGTTTTGATTTGCTTTAAATCTTGTTCACATGTATCTTAGTTACTCAATTTTTCTTTTTCTTTTTTTTTTTATTTTTTATTTTTTTGTGCAACCGGGGATTGAATTCAGACCCTTGTGCTTGCCAGTCAAGTGCTTATTCTACTGAGCCATCTCCCCGGCCCTATGTTTCTAAATAGCCGTTTAACTTCCTATTACATAATAGGAGTTAGAACAAATGATTTTATAAAAATGTGAATGCTGAAACTGGGCATGGTGGCATGTGCCTGTAATCCCAGCTCTTGAGAAGGTGTAAACAGGCAGATCACTGAGTCTGATCTAGTAGTGAGACCCTGGACACCCTATAGACCTTTCCCTAAAAATACAATAAATAAAAAAATAAATAAAACTATGAATGCTAACACTTGTGCCTGATACCTTCCTTATCTTCTCATGGCCAGCTGGTTGTTGCTCTCTGCTGCTCTAACATTCTGTTGTCCCTCTTCATGACTCCCAGATTCTTACATATTTTATTTAATCAGTGCTCCCTTAAGATTATTGCTCTTTTCATACCAGGGACAAGTTAACGTGGGAAAAGGGAATTATGGTTGGGTAACTACACAGTACCCAGTGGAGATGCATGAGGTCTCAGACAGTTTGAGTCAGGGACTTTCTTGTTGGGATGTGCCTTTCTTCCTTCTAGATTTTCAATGTGTATTGATTTCACTCTCTCATATCAACCTGTTTCACATGTGGCTCTCTGGCCCCGCTCTCTGGCTTGGCTCTGAAGTAGGGCCTGAGACTCACTGGGAATGTCCTGACAGCTTGGCCTGGCCTCCTGGATCCTATCACTGGGCCCTCAGGACCTGGGAACTGCCTGATAGGAGTCCATCAATCCAGAGATTACTCTGATGAAAATTTCTAACTGGAGAGCAAATAACCATGGTTCTGCTGGGAGAACTTTTCAGGTTCCAGCAAGTCAATGAGGACCCTGTGTTCAGTAGAAACCAGTTAATGAAGCAACAACTGACAGACATCATGTGGAGGAGGTACCTCAGAGGCTTAGCTTTAGGAAATTTGAGAAGGTGAAAATTACCTTCATATGAGTGCTCTGATATCACACAGATTTGTCTCGTGTTCTATTTTGTCACAAAATTGTCACCAAAAAAGAAACCTAATTTGTGCCTTGTTCTAGGAATTAATGTGCAATTATTAAATATAATGTAGAATACTTCTAAGATATGAAAACATTTAACATGGAAATCTTAAAAGTACCACATTGCTGATGTATATAATAGAAATTCACAACTGCTATACCACGAACTAGCTATATTAGTTTTTATACCACTTTAATGGTTTCCTTAAGGAATTGTAATATGACATCTCATCTCCTAAATCAGTGCCTTTCTTGCATTATTGTAATCAAAAATCCCCTGAGATTTGGCACAGGCTGCTGGACAAGTACAATCACACTGTATACTGGTGGTTCAAACTAGTGGGAATGATCAAATCAGAGCTGCTTGGCACTGAGAATAAACTACAGCCCCATCCTCAAAATCAAATAGAATACAAATTTAAACCACAGTGACAGGGCCGAGGAGATGGCTCAGTGGCATAAGCGCTTCCCTGGCAAGCACAAGGGCCTGAGTTCAATCCTCAGTTCCACAAAAAAAAAAAAAAAAGACTCTAAACCACAGCGACAGCTGGACATGGTGGTGTACGCCTTTAATCCCAGCCCTTGGGAGGCTGAGGTAGAAGGATCAACCTGAGTTTGAGGCCAGCCTGAGCTACATAGTGAGTTCAAGAACAGACTAAGGAGATCCTGGGGGGTGTTTGTTTGTTTGTTTGTTTGTTTTTTAACTTCGCAAAGATGTATGATGCACAGGTACAAAGTCCTATGATGAATGTGATCAATATGGATGACAAATACATACAAAGGAAAGTTCTGGCCCTGCCTGGTCACTTGAGTGATTTAGCAAGACCCTGTCTCAAAAACTGTAAAAAGCTGGGTTTGGCGTACACACCTGTAATCTCAGCACTTAGGAGGCTAAGGCAGGAAGATCACTGAGATCAAGGCCAGTCAGAACTACACAGTGAGACCCATGGCAAAAACAAAACTAAAAAGGGCTGGGAACCTAGATAAGTGCAAAAGCACTGGGTCAATCAATCCCCAGTTCTAGAGGGAGAGGGGAATGTCTTAACTAAAATCCTAACAGGTCTGAAGCTCTATCTGGAACTTTACCTACTGAACCTTGCATAAATTTTTTATTGGAATAGACTATGAAAGCAATTAAGAATCAGTATTAATCATTTAGTAAGTTCCTCAATTTGCAAAACACTGAAGATCCAGTGCAGAATAAGACACTACCATTTACCTTCACAGAAATTATAGCCTGAAGAGAGCTGGGAATATAGTTCAGCAGCACAAGCACCTGCCTGGCCAGTGCAAGGTCCTGAGTTCTATTTCTGATAAGAAAAAGAAAAAAAAAAAAAAAAAGAAAGAAAGAAAGAAAGAAAGAAAGAAAGAAAGAAAGAAATTACAGTCTAAGGATAGAAATGAATACAATTCGTTCTTAGTATGTCACCATATGTGGCTCTGTGAATTCCTGAGCCGTTCATTCATTTATTCATTCATCCATTCAAAACAATATTCTCAGGAGTGAAGGAGTCGCGGTGGGGACCCGGTACGGAGCAGGCGGGTATCGGGCTAGAGGGGCGCGCGGTGGCAGCGACAGCGATCCGGCTGAGTCTGCGCTCTGAAAGGAGTGACTCGGGGACCTGGGTGGGCCACTTTTCCCACACCTGGTGGTTTTCATTCTTCCCTTTTAGTTGGGGCCTGGTGTCGGCCACTGAGCAGAGACCTTCCGCAGAACCCAGACGACTCTCCTGTCAGTGTGCGAGGAGCTAGCGGTCACCGGAAGGCCGCGGTGCTCCGAGCGCCCAGGTAAGGGCAGCCCGGAGCGTGCCTGCCTGACTCGCTCGCCGCAGCGGATCCGCGCGCGCGATGGAGGCGTTGAGCCCGGTGCACCCCTCGGGCCGCGAGGCGCCGTCGAGCTGCGGCAGCGTGGAGCTGGCGCCGCGCTGCCTGGCCGAGCACCGTCACAACCTGGGACGCTCCGCGGCGGCCGCGGCAGGGCGCTGCGAGTTGGCCGAGGCGGCGGCCGACGAATCCGCACTGTACCTGCGGTGCGATATGAACTACTGCTACAGACGCCTGCGGAAGCTGATGCCCACCATCCCGCGCAACAAGAAAGTCAGCAAAGGGAAGATCCTGCAGCACGTTATCGACTACATCCTGGACCTGCAGCTCGCGCTGGAGACGAACCCCGCTCTGCTCAGACAGTCGCCCCAGCCCACGCCTCCGAGCCTCCGGGCGGGGATTTATCCGGCAGGGCGACAGCATTCTGTGCGGCTGAGCTGCCTGGGCCAGGTGTGCTGCCGCCTGGGCCCGAGCCAGGAGCTCTAGAGAGCGAGGGGGAAGAGTAGACAGACGGTAGAGGAAAGCCACCGGAGGAAAGGAAAAAACAAATCAGAAAATCTTTAGAAACCTTTTCACTCAAAGAAATTATAGCCTGAAACTCATCATTCCAAGAGAGAGGGAGAGGAAAAACAAACAAAACCCAACTCTCCATCTTTTCTTTCTTTTTTTTTTTTTTCACGTTCATATACATTCTACGTCCGTATTCTCTTTTGTCTCTTCATTTATAACCTCTGTGAATTGTACATTTCTGTGTTTTCGGCAGGTGCAGTTAAACTTTCAAGCTTGAGTGTGACAGGACTGATAAATAGAAGATCAAGAGTAAATCTGAACCACTAGGAAGAGAGTATGCAATGTGTTAATTATTGAAACTGTCGTACCAATTTGATTTTTTTTATTTTTTATTTATTTATTTATTTATTTATTTTTACCAATTTAATTTGAAACTGTCTCATTGTTATATGTCTCTCAATAAAATTGGGGGAAAAAGAGTAAATCTGACTTTGGAAGGCTACTTTGTGACTTAGGAGGGCAATCTTGTTTTGAAGCTTTACTAATACACCCCAGGGCGTTGTAGATTTTTTTTTTTTATTTTTACATCTATTGTTTAAAATAGAGGAATATAATGGGGTGGGGAACTTTTCTCTGCAAGAATGTTACATATTTTATAGATAACTGAGTGGCATTTCATACCATGTATGTATGAAGATGTTCTATAAGTGTGAGAAAGTATATGCTTTAATAGACTACTGTAATTATAAGATTTTTTTAATTAAATATTTTTGTAAATATTTTAAAAAATATTCTCTGCCTCCCAGCTATTTTTTTCCTTCTCTTTGTGTTGGATTATTAGGCCAGAATGAAGATGCTTAAATCCAGTATCTGCAGCTGGTAGTGGTGGCCCCCACAGCCCGTAATGCCTGTACTCTGGGGGGATGAGGCAAAGAATCTAAAGCCCAGCCTAGGTGACTTAAAAAAACTTTGTCTAAAAACATGAATGAATGAATACATACATACATACATATACAGTATTTTGGTTTTATTACTTTTATACTTAGCTTTTTAAACTTGCTACATGTAGTCTGTAATTTCCTATTTTTTTGTTTTGTTTTTTGAGACAGCTCCTCACTGTGTAACCCAGGCTGGTCTCGAACACTCAGTGACCTCCTGCTTTAGACTCTGGAGGGCTGGGACTGCAAGCAGCCACCAGCACACCCAGCCTGTATTTCTGTATGTTCTTCCTGGTGGCTATATATATATATATATATATGCATGACTCCTGAAGATTAGTTGTGTTGTCCAAGCCAGTCTTGAATTCCAAATCCAGTGATCCTCCCGCCTCAGCCCCAGTACCTCAAACATGTCCTAGAACATTCACCTATGTTGTTTTTCTGAGACAGGGTCTTGTTTTGTGGTCCAAGCTGGACCTGAACTCACTATGTAGCCCAGACTGTCCTCAAATTTTGATGGTCGGGGCTGGTGAGATGGCTCAGTGGTCTAAAGCACCTACTTAGAACAAGCTTAGCAAAGCACAGGGACCACAGTTCAATCCCCCAGCACCACATGCCAGCCAGCGCCACCCCCTGGTGGGCTGATCTGGCCACACACACACACACACACACACATAAATAAATAAAAATTAAAAAAAAAATTTTTGATGGTCTTCCTGCCTCAGCCTTCTGAGTACAGGGATTACAGGCATGCACCACCTCATGTGGCTTTATTTACTTATTTTAGCTTTTCTGAGTATTTATTGAAGACCCCAACAGTGTTTTATTTATTTATTTATTTATTTTTCTCAACATCTTGCTCTGCAGCTTTCTTAGATCTCTTTTCTGGAATGCCAAACAGCCCAGCATTGGCACAGACCATGCTCAGACTGGCAAACAACATTAAGTTCTTTTCCTCCTCTGCAATGACCCTGGACTTTCCTCCTTGTAGGCCTTCCTGCTGGGCATCACAAATCCTCTCAGCTGGGAGGCCAATTTGAGTTCATTAGCAGAGCAGGCTCCCTTCCTGAGGGCAACCGCTTCCTGGGGAAGAGGATGAGTTTGGACTGGTGGGTGCTCTCTCAGTCCCACACTAGCAAGCAGGAACCTGGTGGATTTGTTCCACCTCCTCAGATCCACTGACATGCCAAAGCTCCAGGCCACCTGCTGCACCTTAGACTTTAGTGTGATATCACACTGTGGGGCAGCGCATTATGGGCCCGATGGGTAGGGCGGGGTGCTACAACACAATTTTGCCTAGCACTTGGGATTTATCTCAAAATAAAAACTTTGTCTCCTTGGTGTAACCAGACTGTAGCACTCTGATTAGAAAGTGTTTCCCTAAACTGGAGTCTACAATGGCCTTCCAAGGGACAAAAACAAGATCATAATTTTCACTTTGCTTCCTTCTTTATTGTCCAATGTTTAAAAACACCTGATATCTTTTTTTCAACTTCTTGTCATTACAGGAAAGGAGACTATTCCATAACAGTTTCTTTCATAATTAGAAGCAAAAAAGTTAACCTCACTAATGTTTTAAGCTTTCTTGCATTAGGACACAAACAAAGTATCTCAGGTTCACCCTATACCTTCCTTGACCCAGACTTGGTTTGTCTTCAAAAATCCTTTTTTTTTTCCTTTTGTTTTTGGACAAAGTCTCATGCAGACCTTGTCCTCATTGTGCAGTCCAGGTTGGCTGGCCTCAAGCTCGTCCCAAGTGCTAGGATTACAAGCTTGTGCCACTATGCCTGGCTCTGATAGTTCCCTTCAACCAAAAAGGTATTAGAGACTCATGATAAAATTTTTACATAAGGACTGGTGCAAGGACCCAAGTTTGATACCTGGTACCATATGCCACGCTGGCCCCAGAACCAGGTATGGTGGTGCATGCCTGTAATCCCAGCGCTGCAGAGGCTGAGACAGGAGTATCATGAGGAATCTGAGCTGCCTAGTCAGACCCCGTACCAAATAGATACATAATTTTTTTAAAAAAAGGTTAGAAGTAAAAGATAAATAAAATTTTCACATGATTTTATTTTTATTTCTTTTCCTCTAAAAAAAGGTATTTTGCTTTTGTTTTTGTTTTTGTGATACCAGGGATTGAACTCAGGACTCCAAACTTAAAAAAAGTTGTTTGTTTATTTGTTTGTTTTTGGCAGAGCAAGGGATTGAATTCAGGCCCTTGCACTTGCCAGGGAAGTGCTTATTCCACTGAGCCAACTCCCCAGCCCACAGAAAAGTTTTGATTGCTAATGTTGCTAACTAGTATTGATTTACCTTACCTTATCCTGCTATATGAAAACTATATTAAACTGCCATACTAACATTATTTCAAATGATTAGCAAAGTTTAAAAACTTTTTAGGCCTTCATTGCCCAGTTTTTTGTTTTTTTTTTAATTTTATTTATTTGTGTGTGTGTGTGTGTGTGTGTGTGTGTGTGTGTGTCCAGCCCAGCCCACCAGGGGGTGGGGCTGGCTGGCATGTGGCGCTGGGGATTGAACCGCAGTCCCCTTGCCCTGCCAAGCCTGCTCCAAGCAGGTGCCCCAGACCACCGAGCCATCTCACCAGCCCCTTATTGCTCAGTTTTTATATTTCTTTGTGTAGA